TGCTGAAGAGGATTTAGGGGACTTGGAAGTCCATGATTAGGGTTTTGTTTTGGAAGTTGAGACCTGGGATTAATGAAAAAGACTCTTCTTGTTCTCTGTTGAGAAGTTAGTCTTCTCAGACTGAGCCCTAGACTTCTTTTTCTGAGAAAGTTGGGTACTCTTGCCACCAGTGACATTCTCAACGTGTGCATTTAGCACAGCCCTGAAGGGACATGGTTTTTCAAAGGGCATGCAAAGCAAGCACCTTTTGCAGTCAGGCTCAGAAGAACATTCCAAAGTGTCCTATCCATGTTCACTGACAGGATACCTATAGAGAAGATGAGATAGTAGACCTTTAACTGCCCATCCACACTATAGTTTAAAGCTGCTGAGGTCAGACTAAGGTCCACAGCCAGAATAGGTTTCAGTGCAGGACCTGCAAGGGAGACAAGGGACCTACAGCCACTTGTCAGTGGTGTCCTTAAAGTTTGGGTGCATCCTCCACCAGGAAGGTAAACACTTTGTTAACTGCCTGATCTACAACCCCAATTCCAAAAAAGTTGTGTAAAATCTACATTTTTACACACTGTGTAAAATCTGCATAAAAAAAGAAGAATGCAATGATTTGCAAATCTCAAACTCATATTTTATTATTATATTGGGATTTAGATCTGGACCCATTGCCGGCCAGTCCAGTACTCTCCAGCGCCTTGTCTGAAAACATTTCTGGGTGCTTTTTGACATGTGCTTTGGGTCATTGTCCCGACACTGGGCCCTACATTGCACCCCAGAATTCTTTGGTAGTCTTCAGATTTCATAATGCCATGCACACAGTCAAGACAACCAGTGCCTAAAGCAGCAAAGCAACCCCAAAACATCAGTGAACCTTCACCATGTTTGACAGTAGGGACTGTATTTTTTATTTTTTTTAAAGGCCTCATTTCTTTTTCTGAAAACCGTAGAATGATGGGCTTTTGGCTTCCTCCGGTAAGTTTTAGCTAACTTTAATCTGGCCTTTACACGCACATGAACTTTAATGGCATCCCAGTCTTAGTCCATGGGGTTCTATATTGAGTTGGCCCACCACTTTGCAGCTATAACAGCTTAAACTCTTCTGGGAAGGCTGTCCACAAGGTTTAGGAGTGTGTCTATGGGAATGTTTGACAAATGTTTGTAGAAGCAGTCTGCATGCCTAGGTGCTTGATTTTATACACCTGTGGCCATGGAGGTGATTGGAACAAATGAATCCAATAATTTGGAGGGGTGTCCCAATACTTTTGGCAATATAGTGTATTTTTAAAAAAAAATTAAATCCCCATGAGAATAACTATTTTCTATTGTGAATAAAATATGGGTTTGTGAGATTTGCAAATCTGTTTTTATGTAGATTTTACACAGCATACCAACTTTATTTGAATTGGGGTTGTACAGAGAGAGCAGCCCATTTTTAACAAAGTCTTCATCAATTAGGTAAATGGCTACTTGGTAACATAGTAGGTGAGGTTGAATAAAGACAAGGGTCCATCCAGTTCAACCTATGTGTGTATGTGATTGTGTATTATCTTGCTCTAATAACACTTGTCGTATCTCTGTAAATTAAGTGAAATAAGAAACTCATCAAGAAGTTTCTAGAATTTATGAATGCTCTCAGGAGGAGACTACTGCCTGTGGAAGGGAATTCCACAATTTTACTACTCTCATAAGGACAAAGAGCTTGAAAGGATATATTTTCATAGTCTCCATAAAAGAAGACTGCAAACAGAAGTTGTACTGGAAACATATTGGTGGTCTTAGGAGCCCTAAAGGAGCCTAGACGAAGGACAGCACTGATGGAGGCTCCAGACTGTTCCTCAAAGTATTTTCCACTTTTGCAGTCGAATGTGAGAAAACCCCTCTAGACGTTTCTAATGTGTTCTATTCACATAGCATATCAGGGAAAATGGCTGAATCCAAGTTTTTCTGAGCACCATTGCGGTGATCTGTCCTTATAGGAAGATTGAGGACAGGAATATGTTTCTCTCATTAACATACAATGCAGAAGCCCAACTTGTAATCCGTTAATCCGTTGTTAGGACAGGCAGTGCTCAAATCTACTCTACAAATAATAATGAAATGAGCCAGAACAGTACAGGCAGGGTTAACACATACCCTTCCCCACCCTTTCTAACATTACAAAGTAAAAAGCAATTTAAACTGCAAAACACTTTTTTTTGTAGCTTATGTGATGTGAATGGGAGCATGTAACAATATAAAATAGGCGTTAATCCAATTTGGCTGCAAAAGTCCCAGAGGGGTGCGACCTGGATCAACATGCCTGGAGTCGCCCCTGTCCTCATGTACATGCTCATTTATCAGGGACTTAAGAGACTTTGCATCAGACCATGGGCAGATTGAATAGAGCTTAAGAGTCAGCAATCACACTCTAGGCAGCCCCAGAATCGTTATTGGAGTGTGAGCTGGAGGAACAGTATAACAGAACTGTCCCCCTGTGTCTAGATTCAGATATATTGCACCACAGGGCAGAAAGCAACATGCTCAGGGTATGAGGCAAGGCCTCCAATATGCACAAACCCAACTGTTGGAAAGCATATGTAGGGTCCGACGGCCGAAGGTTACAAGGTCACTGTAGGTGGACAGTGGGGATGACCTAAGGAGAGTTCCACATGTCCCTTGCAGTAAGAGCAGCAGCGGGAAGGGTTTCTTCATGGCATGGACCCTATGAAACACTTCACTCATCGGATGGCATCAGAGCTCAATCCATCAGCATTAACTCTTTCTGTGGCAAGTTGAACAAAAAGCAGTACACTTTACAGCACCAAATTATACCAGTAATGGGGTAGCCCCTGGGTCTGAACGTGCGAATTGTGGCTGTCAGCGACTAGTCAATGTTAGGGCAGAACGGATAATGGCAAGACTGGTACAAGACAACAGAAGGGCAACAGTGCATCAAATGACTGCAGATCTTAATCAGGGATCCTCTCAAATGATCTCAACGCACTGTTCACCGTACACTGTATCGTATGGGATATGGAAGCCAAAGGCCTGTTCGAAGACACCTTTGCTGTCTGCAGTTAAGATAAAACGTCTCCAATTCACACAGGAACACAGGGATTGGACGGTCGAGCATTGGGAAAAAAAAGTTATGTGGTCCGATGAATCACGTTTCCAGTTGCATCATGCAGATGGCAGAGTGAGAATTTAGCGGGAACAGCATGAAAGCATGCACCCCACATGCATGAGTACAACCCTTCAAGCTGGTGGGGGCAGTGTTATGGCTTGGAGCATGTTTTCCTGGCATGATTTGGGCCCTTTAATTCGTGTGGAACAAAGTCTGGATAGCACAACATACCAAAGTATCATTGCTGATCAAGTTCATCCTATCATCTTGATGGGGTATCCCAATGGAGATGGCTTCTTCCAACAAGACAATGCGCCATGCCACGGTGCTCGTATTGGTGTGGAGTGGTTTCAAGAACACGAGGGAGAATTTACCTTGCTTAGGTGGCACCCACATTTACCAGATCTCAATCCAATTGAGCATTTGTGGGACGAAGTTGAAAGAGCCATCAGGCAGCTGGTTCCACAACCATCAAATTTCACAGAACTGCACAGTGCTATTCATCAGGCATGGTGTCAGATTCCTCGCATCACCTTTTAACATCTCGTGGAGTCAATGCCAAGAAGAATCGCCGCAGTATTGAAGACAAAAGGTGGCCCAACGAAGTACTGATGGGGTGGTCATAATAATCTGGCCACTCAGTGTATTTCTAGCATATCAACAGTTATCTTTCTGAACTTGTACTGTTTAAATGGATCAAATATGGGGAAATGTGCATGTATTGCATGTACAAAATACTTTTTTTTGCCTTAACATACACTTCAATATAAACTTCTTTCCAAATGACTTAAGTAATTGTTTCTTACTACTTATATTAAACATGCATTACAACAAACAGACCTATATTATAAAATGAAATAGTTATTTTCATAAAATGGGTCACTGATCTTTAAGATAAAACAACATCTCTCATATTACTTTAATCTTTGTCACCCAGTGGGCTACACAGATATAAAATTATGTTTTTAAACCATTAATCCCATGTTGTGATAAGAAAGGCAAAAGCTACCAGAGATATTCTCACATGACAGCGACTATGCAAAAACGGATATCCAGAAATATCCATTTTGCCATTTTCAGGTTCCCATTCTGAACAAATGAAAGGGAGAATCAATGAGGAAAGCAAGGTCTGCACTATATAACATGGATTTTTAGTGAATGACAACCTACAGAAACAATATATTATTAGATAGGTATATAGCTAACATATATCACCACTTGATATTTATGTTAATTTCTACAGGTATGGTTAGCAAAAAATAAAACCATTATGAATGTGCAGGGACACTTTCAGCAATATACTGAGCTGCCGCAAGCTGTCATTGTGACAGATTTGAACAGTAATTGGATATTGCATGGAATAGTATTGGCAGAAAACACGTTAGGCAATGTAACACACATTTGCTTGCATCATCTTTTTCCTTCACTTCACATGTTATTTTAAGCAGAGCTTTGGCTTTTATTGTAATTTGACCAAATATTTCATAATGTAACTGTATTAAAAATGCATGCATGAAATATAAACAGCTGACTGGTAATATATTAAAAAAATTCTGTCTAACACAATATACCATTTTCATGCCAAACATGCACATAAATGTGAGATAGACCATTTAGCAGACAAATGGATGTGTACAGCTTAAAGTATGCAGGTTGAATTTTCTCATAACAAGTATATGCAAATCAAAATGTTAACATATAGAATGTTTGCACTCAACGTAAATGAGTTTTCTCTGAGTCCACTGAGAGACGCCGTGCTGTGATAATTAAGCAACCTAAGGTTATACTGCAACCTACAGGAGAACACACTAAGCATATAGAAAACTAAGACCTTCCCCTTGAAGCTATAACCTCTCCCACTTCACACCTACTTGTAGCAAGCAATCCAAAGGCAGAATGATAGCATGTGAGGTGGCGGAGCTGTGTCCCTTAATGGACCCCACAAAAAGGATTTTACGATGAGTACTAAATTCAATGGAGTGGTGGATACACCAAAACAAAACACAAGCAAACCAGCCTAACAAGAGAAAAGCAATGCAACAGGAAAAACAAGGGCATTCAACAGCCGCTTGTAGAACCTTTTGAATGAACTAGCATCTGCTAAGGCAGACTCATTAACCTATAGAATGTAGAGAACGTATGTACAGAAGACCAGGTCTCAGCCTTAAAGATCTGAGAAACAGAGGCCTCATGACAAAGTTCTGCAGGAAATCTTGCAATTAATAGACCTTCAGAGCAACCCGTCATATCCATAAAAAAATATGGTTCTAGAAGCCAGAAAACCTCCTATTAGGACCTCCTGGAATAACAAAACAGGCAATCTGACCACCGTAAAAAAAAAAAAAAAAAAGTGGTTGAGATGTAAACCATGACGCCCCTTACCACAACCAGGTAATGGAGAAATATCTCCTTAGGGTGAACTGGTTCTGGACACAGGGAAGGTAAAACAATATCCTCTTTAAAGTGCACATTTAGGTGAAAAGCAAAAACCCCTTTGGGTAAAAAGGAAGAAGTCCTAATTTTTAATTTTTTTTGGATCAAACAGGGCACCGTTGATAACTCAGAAACCTGAAGTGACGCCACAAGAATGGCTACTTTATGGGATAGCAATGTCAAGTCCTTATTGGTCCAACTGGAGAAAATAAAGAACATGGCCCACTGAAATAGGCACATGGGGAAAGCCCCAGAGACTCACAACGGTTAAAATAGGTATTCCATATTTGATGAAAGATCTTGCGGGAAGAAGAGTTAAAAGCTTTTAACGTTGATTGAAAATACAGAATCCAAAATACACCCTTCTCTCTGAAACTGGTTTACTACGATAGTCCATGAAAACCAGGGTACGAAAAGCAGGGTGAAAGATTGGTCCTTGCGGCCAATACAGCAGCGGCTAAAAGATGCAGGACATCTACGTACCACATTGTCCAATGTCAATATGGAGCTATGAGAATGACTTAATGATTTCAAAGTAGATGCAGTAAAAGTTCTAGCAGTGGAGAGGCACAAATTAGGGAATGTCCTGCATCTGCTGTTGGGTCCCGCATCCTGGAGACAAAACTGTCCAGTTTCTTGTTGTACTCAGAAGCTAATCAAATCTAAAATCAGGCATCCCCGAACACAGATATATGCTCTAGAAGTCCTCCTGACGAAGAGACCATTCCCCGAGTTCAGACATCATCAGCCAAGATAATCTGCCTGCCACTGTTCCACACTGGGAATGGGCACAGCAGGGATCAGCGCAACATAAAACTCAGCCCAGCACAAGAGAGACTGAGCGCCGCTGCAACAGATATGGTGACACTTTATTTGGCTAAAGGAATGGACACAATAACCCCTCTTTCCTGGTATACCAAGGCCTGAATGGCGGCAAGAAGGTCTTTTCTGGCTTTGTTTTCAACGTGGTAAGATGAGAAATGAAAAAGCTATGCAAGCTTCCTGAAATCTCCATCAAGGCTAACAAACGTCCCCCGTTTAATGGAACTGGTGGGGGCAGACCTTAATGCGGTGGTGGATTTATCCACAGCTCTGGATCCCTTTTTAATCAAGAACATTTAGAACCGCTTGAGCAGGTGTGTCCAGAGAACAAAAGGAACATTCAGTGCAAGACAAGAAGGTGCTGACATATATTGCCGATTTTTAGTTTTGTGTTGCTGGGATAAGCGAGTACTCTTAACCCCCCATTGTGACAGCACTTAGTGACATTAAACCCTCTGTTTTTTTAACATAAACCAATACTGTAATGTGTGCCTAACTGTAATCCATGGTAGTTTCCCTTCCATTTGCTGCTCTTCCTTTTATATCCTCATGTCTTCTCATGCTGGGGGAGAACTTCCCTTTGCAGCTGAGTGCCTCTTCCTGTAGTGCTGGCTCAGGTTGTGAACCTTCACACAGACACTATGTATCCATTTCAGAGACAGGGCAGTCTGCTGCAAAACAGAAGTTCTGCCCAGCATGAGAACAGATACGGATTTAAAAGGAAGAGCAGCAAAGAGCAGGGAAACAACCATGGATTACAGTAAGGCACACATTACAGTATTGTTTTATGTTAAAAAATCTGAGGGTTTAATGTCACTTTAAGCCAGAGTGTGCGTGGGTTCTAAACAGAAGAAATACTTGAAAACAGGGCTTTTTGTTTGTCAGAGAACAGGTGCAAATAATCGCCCAGACCAATGAGGGGAGTAGTAAAGCAGCATGTGTGGCCAAACTGCAGAAACAATGGGAGGGAGGGGTCTTAAAAGGGACATGGTTTAATAAAACATCAGTCTATTTGCTGTATATACAGCACACATATGCCACAGACCTTGAACCCAACCAATATGCTTTAATTACTGTGCCACAAGCAAGAGTCTAACAGATATGTACAACACTCAGCACAATAATTTTTTTAACCGTTTCCCATCAGGAGCAATTTCTTTATGGCAACATCAGGGGTCTGCTGTACCCAAATGTCACAAAGAGGCAGAGCCAGCTGCCAATCAGCTCTGCACTGTGACCCAAAAGAGAAATAAAGCCAAAAAAAGGTTTGACTTCAGTTCTCTTTTAACCAGTTGGCATCCGCGGTGTTAAACCCCCTTCCCATCCAGGCCATTTTTCAGTATTCAGCGATGTGGTAATTTGACTGACATTTATTCCGTCATGCAGCGCTGTACTGAAATGAATTGTATACCCTTTTTTGGGGACAGATAGAGCTTTTTTTTGGTGGTATTTATTCACCAGTACGGGTTTTATTTTTTACTATATTAAAAGGAAAAATTTCCGAAATAAAAAAACAAAAAACTGTTTCCCCTATATTAAATGATAAAACATTTATTATTACCCAATTTTCTGGTAAAATATAAAAGACGGGGTCACGTCGGGTAAAAAGACACCAAACATGTCAAAAAAACGAGCACATAGACGATCGGCGGCCTATGGAGCCGCCGATCGTCTATATGTGAAACACCCGGTAACGGATTGGTGCATTGGTCGGGTCTTTTCTGCCCGTGCGTGCCCGCTAGGAAAAAAATGCCATCTGGAGACAGCAACCCACCAATGCTGCAGTGCCGTCCGTCCGTTTTTTTACAACAGGCGGACGGCAAGTGGTTAAACTGGCTAAGTATTCTAGGGTATAGCTACTAGATGGAGTTGTGCCTCTTGATTTGCATAGTGTCCAAACCTCTTATAAGTGGGAGCTATACCCACACATTAAAAGGATAGAGCTTTGTGTCCTCCATGGGAGAAATTCCCTTTGCTCAAGTTGCCCTTTCAGTTCCATATTTTATTTTAAACAAAAAAAGTCAGTTGTCCATCATTTTAAGAACTGTTTACAGAAACCTCTTACCTGTACTTCTGGAGCTCTTCCAGCCTGCCCAGAAAACATCCTCTCAAACCTGGAAATAAAATAATATCTAAATGATATAAAATTACCTTAAATGACATTGCATTTCATACAGACACATAAAACAGATGCTAGGTTTACATCTTTCTTTGGACCTTTATATACAAGCTTGAATGACCCTCATCATCCAGGATTGTACATAGGAGGAATGTAAACATCCCCTTACCTACCTGTACTGAGTGAAAACACCTATATTGGATGGATGAGATTATCACTATCATTAACCACACATAAATTTCAAATGAAGTGATCCTTTTGAAATTGTTCATTATATACAGCTGTCTCTTGCAAACATATTACGTGTACCAGGGGTTGGGGGTGCCACCATCCCCCAAGATGCACTTTGACTTGTACAAGCGTGACATTCTTTATTGGACACCTACTGTGTTACATTTTGGAAACACTACACAGAGGAGTCAATATACATTTAAGTCATGCTAACATTGTTACCTCTATGAATGCTGTTATTTACTATTGCGAGAGGCCAATTTGAATTATGGAACAAACTTTAGCCCAGGATGGTGTTTAAACTACGTACAATATAACTCATACTCTCACCCTTATCTCGCTTCTATAGCACGAGTTTTGTTAGATTCCAGTTCTATATTTCTTTGGACTTACATGCATAGTTAGATGAGGGTCATGTTCATTTAAAATGTATACTTGGTTAAACTATTTGGTTTAGAATGTGCAGATTTTGCAGATACTTGACACACATGTTCATAGATCAATTTTTTTTTGCGGCAGGACATCATTGTAGCTATAGTGATTTTATATGATTTTAGAGTGTGATTTAGCTTCAGGTTTTCAGTAAAGATGTTGCATTTTGTTTATCTATAGACTGTTTCTGATTGTATTTTGTGAAGATCATATTATTTGGCTCTGACTCTCTGAATGTTATAGATGTTTAATAGTTGGACTCTTTATTGTTAATTTAAAATGTTTGATTTAGTTTTGTGCATTTGTTTAAAATACACAGACTACAGCATGTATATATCATACAGAAATACTATTTCTAGGAATAAAAGCATAGCATTGCCTTCTTAAAACAGAAAATACATGTAAGCCATCATTTATGACAGCAATATAAAAGACAAGGAATTCATTACTAATTCTATGTCCGCAGGCAAAGCATTGCTGTATAACCCTCTTGGCAACCATGCATGCAAACCTACAGGTTTATAGCACAGTACAGCTAAACAAATTACAGTGCTTTTTATTCCAATTTGCATATACAAAAAACATATGGTTGAACGGAAACATTTTATGTTCACAGCAAAACCTAAGAGCTTTCATATACTTCAACCACTTTTGGACTGCCGTAGGAATATAAACGTCCTGGACCTGAAGTGCTTAAACCAAGATTAAGGCTGCTCCTGCAGCCATGATCTTGGTTTAATTGTTTTCAACAGGCAATGCTCGTTTTCTACAAGTGATATGGGCAGCTGTACAGCCTCCCTGATCTGCATGTGTGGTGCCCCACACCCCTGCCGTAGTGTTCGGGGTCCCCCAATGCTATGGGGGACCCAGGACCATGGCAAATACATTCAAGATGGAGAGCAGGAGCAAACCGGTAAACATCCATTCCCCAATCTACTCTTTGATCAGTGATGCAGGAAGTGCTGTGATTTACAGCTGTGAGAGTCCCTGTGAGATAGCAATGAAGGCGGAAAAAAACTATTATAAAAAGTGAGAGAAAAAAATAATAAAATTAAAACCAAAACACCTCTACCCCCACTACGTAAACGACGATTGACTGAGAACACTAATTCTAGGCCCATAAATTACTGTTAACACTAAATTAATGGGCAGCAAAAGCTTTTAAAGCATCACCTGTGGGCACTTTTAACAGGCGCACGCAATTTTAAGACTCAACGTCTTTGGTATCTATTTACCCGACCCAACCTCATCTTTCATATTTATTAAAACATTGGTTATTATATTCGGTATATTCCGTGCTCTAAAATTAATTTTAATGTATTTTATTCTAAAAAGATTGGTTTGATAAACATTTGCGTAAATATCATGCAACCAGCATTTTTTTTTCTACAGGGCCTCTGGTTTTAGAAAATACATAATTGTTTGGGGACATAACACAAAACCCCAGAAAAATAAAAAAATGTTAAAGTGACATTAAACCCTCAGATTTTTTAACATAAAACAATACTGTAATGTGGGCCTTACTGTAATCCATGGTTGTTTGCCTTCTCTTTGCTGCTCTTCCTTTTAAATCTGTATCTGTTCTCATGCTGGGCAGAACTTCTGTTTTGCAGCAGACTGCCTTGTCTCTGAAATGGATACATGGTGTCTGTGTGTAGGTTTGCAACCTGAGCCAACACTAAAGGAAGAGGCACTCAGCTGCAAAGGGAAGTTCTCCCCCAGCATGAGAAGACATGAGAATTTAAAAGGAAGAGCAGCAAATGGAAGGGAAACTACCATGGATTACAGTAAGGCACACATTACAGTATTGGTTTATGTTAAAAAAAAAAATAATGTCACTAAGTATTCTGAATCTATTCAGCTATGCTGCATATACGTGTGCTGAAAAGGAAGATGTTAACTGAAGGAGAGGTGACCTCATCAGAATATTTATGTTTTGCTGCTTCTTCACTGCCTAAATCACTGGCTGTATTGCTCAACAGCAGCAGCGAGAAATAAGATTACTTTTAACACATGTCCATTAATTGGATATGCAGCTTTTGAAACATAATATGCTTTTTGATTAAATGTTCCATTTATAGAAGGATAAATGGGGCTTTGAAATGCCAGGTTAATGGGCAGTTTGGGCAATCAGTTACAGAGAAGCATCTCAGCTGTGGACTGCAGTAACGTAATCCCAGATTCCCAACATTTACCTCTCATGGCGCAGGAAAACATTATTGAGATTGTCATTTACAATAAGAAGTTCTTCCGTCAGCTGTTCATTGGTCACTCGAGGTATAAGCTCCAGGATTCTTTCCTGCATGGATCGGCATGTACGGTTTAATTCCTAAGAACAAAACAAGCTACAATCAGGACAGTGAAAACAGGAATAAATGTGATGCAGAAAAACAGCACAGCATGCAATCTGAACAGAGTGACAGAACATAATAAGTGTTAAACAGAGCCTCTCAGAATAGCACACATCTGTAATACGATTGCCTCACGTGATGCTGGGAGTTCATACATACAAATTGACTTCTGATAACATCCAATGTCACAAAGCGAAACATTTCTCATGTGTTATTTTACACTACATGGTTCAGCCTAATACACTAATTAAACCAAATGCTTAAAGTTCATCTCTGTGGGAAAAAGACCCATTTTCAACCACCACTACCAGCCCCCCACCTATACCCTAGCTAATCTGTGTTTATTAGAAAAAAAAAAAATGTATGAACCAAAATTACTTACCTAAATCCACTGTCATGCGACACTCCACAGCGCCACTTCTGATTCTAACTAGCTAGTGTTTCCTAGCTGGTCCCTACCACTCTGCAGACCAGTCTTGTTGCTAAAATCCTAGTAAAGTCACAAACCTGACCCTTTAGCACTAAGAATACAGAGAGGACCCAAATAAACACTTTCATCAGTCAAAAGAATAGGGTGGAGTAGAATGGAAAAAAAAAATCCTCAACCATTGCAGTGCCTACGCCTTCTAAATGCCCTCAAATGTTTTTCATTTTTTCTTATTTGAGGAATGTTTTGGTTCTGGATCGCATACCTTTTAGTCTATGTTGTCAACCCTAAAATAATATGTATTGGGGGTTGAAATAGTGAAAAGAAAAAAAAAATACATTTGAGTACTTTTTACAAGGCAACATTTACATAATTTGTGCTCCCACAGATATTTACACTAAAATATAAATCAACAAAGTCTGCTAGCTTAAATGATATCCCACCAGCCGCTGAGTCCTGAAGCAACATAATGCAGGAAATGGAGGAAATGCAGGGTACGGCATGTGTCTGTCCAGATGTGTCTGTGCAGCTAGTTCTTCAAGAGAGCAAGAATGTGCTCAATGCCTGCTGGTGAGGTAAGTATTCATTCTCTTCTATATCAAGGTGCAGCTGCATTAACTTTTTAGCAAAGTCACTTTAACCTCTTGCCGTCCGCCCGTAGTAGAATAACGGACGGACGGCACTGCTGCATTGGCGGGTTGCCGTCGCCATACGACATTTTTTTTCTGCTCGCGCACGCCCCCTAGCGGGCACGCACGGGCAGAGAAGACCCGTCCAATGCGAACACCCGGTACCGGGTGTTTCACATATAGGCGATCAGCGGGAGTATATAAACCCCAAAAAAAGCCCAACTAGAAAGTGTTGTTTGTTCTTGACAATCTATACTTCAATATGATATTTTTTATTTTTAACTCAAAATACCTGGTGATCCCGCAGTCTCCTATGTCCTGTACAGCTTTCGTGTCTTTTCTGTTAAAGAACAACTCCGGGCAAAATTGTTATTAACCCTTGCATTGGGGCGACCCCTACACTGCAAGGGTTAACTGCTCGTTTTCATTTAGGGACCAAAATAAAAAAAAGTTACTCGCCTGAACCTCAGAGCCTGTCATCTGTCGCATCGCTCCCTCTAGCCTTTCTCTCCCTGCGCTACAACGATGGTATGTCACTCAGTGTCCTCACATCCTATACACTGTGTACAGAATGTGAGGACTTAGAATGCTGCAGCAGAGGGGGAGAGAGGCTCTAGGGACTGATGTAAGAGCAAGCTGGCTCCGAGGATTGGGGGAGTATAACTTTTTTTTTTTTTTTTTTAGCACCTAGACAAAACGTGCACTTAACCCTTGCAGTGCAATAACAATTTTGCCTGGAGTTCTGCTTTAATGCTATGTATTGGTTTCAGACCATTGATGGCATTGATAGACATGCACAGTTCACTGTGCAAAAGCATGGTGGGCCTACAGTCCCTTAGCCAGTCTGGGATATGCCGGCAATGCAGCCCTCGTATGCTGATTGATAGTGATTCCCACCCAGACACCCACTGTCTAGTGATACACTCGAATCTGCCAATTGTCCCAAAGGGTTTAAAGCCCCTGCCCCTCACAACCTGTGGACACAGCAATGAATACTAGTCACAGCTTTACAAATACTCTAAAACAGGTTTTGATAGACTTTATGAAATATAATTAATGTGCATATGATAATAAACGTTTATGTATTGCAATAAGGTTTGGTGCAGTTTAATCAAACCTATACACTTTAACTTATATTGATTAGAAATAGTACTATCTTTAAATGGCATCATCATGTTACTGCAAAATTCCGCCAAAAATGGCATTATCTACATAAAACATGATTTAGTTTAATTCAATTTCTTGATTAAGGCTTAACAAGTTGTGACATCCAAAATGAAATGAAGAGCAGTATGATAAAGTACATGTTAACAAAATCACTAAAACGTTAAATAAAAGCAGAACTCCAGTTAAGCGGGACTTGAGATAAAATTCCCAAGATACACGATTATCACTTAAGATTAGGGCTGTGAAAATTAAAGATTAATTTCTCGATTAATCGTTAAACTTTTTGATCGATTAAAATTATTTTGATCGCTAATGAAAACACTCACCTCTCCGCCGGCTTCCGGGAGTCGCGAAGGCAATCCAGTGACGTCACGGACATCAACGTCAGCGGACTCCTCCCCCTTCCCCAAGTGGCTCCGTCGGCTAACGAAGGGAAGTGGGGAGGAGTCCGGTGACGTCGATCTCCATGACGGCTAACGGAGGGAAGGGGGGAGGAGTCCGGTGACGTCAATTGGTTATTTTTTTACATATTACAAATAGTTCTCAAACTATTTGTAATATGTAAAAAAAAAAAAGGCATAACAATATGGATTTATTGCACCAACTTCCCTATGAAATATTGTTTACATCACTGGTTGTAATCCCGACAACTGTACACCACAATGTATCACAGTTAAATATCTAATGTTGCCATCATTGCAAAGTACTGTTTTGTTATAGTTGTATCCCCTTCTAAAAAATGCAGTAAAAATAGTGAAACAGAAACAATACCAAAATACATTCCTAAAGCCTTGTGTATTCACCACGGTGTTACCGTATGAGTTTATGTCAAATCTTCATAAGACATATGTATATAGTTTTATTTCTTGTTTTAAATATTTCCCCTGAGGTGTTGATAGCTTGTAGGGAAATAAAGTCTTTGTTGTGCTTATCACTGTGGAGGGGAGTGCCAGGCCCAATGAATTGCAAATAGGGTCATTGTTGAGCCCAGGCATGTCCAGATAATTAACATAGAGGTGCAACTTCAGTATCCTGTGTATCAGGAACCAATACCCTTTGATCTAATAACAAGTAGACTGGCCAATCGTAGAGAGGGGTGTGGAGTTGTAAAGAGGGTCTTGGAAACCCTCCAATCTCCAGTAGGCCTTGGGAGGCAACCAATGGGAGATTTGTCATGCATCCCTATGGACACGAGGGCTATATTAATGACTGGAAAAAACAGCTCGGTCTCTTTTCACCAGGATGGGGCCTCATGTGACGTTTAATGGGTAACTATACATATAATCTTTTCCCCACTTAACTGTATGTTGTAGTTAAATAGATTGTTGGTTCATTGTATTTAAGTCTTGATACTATATACCAATAAATTCTGTTATTGTGTTGAGCTCAAAAATCTCATGAATGAATCCTTAGAATATTATACCTGTAAGTGTGAATGCTTATATAGCGGTTCATAACTTAAAATAGTAATTCAGGTAACAACGGTCAAGTGATGTGTCCCTCTTCAGTGGCGGTGGGTGGTCCTTTCTGCTGAACAGGACATCACACATGTTATGATATGTAAGCGTGGGTCTATGAAGCTTTCCATTTTGACCCTAGACTGCGTGATTATGCACACACAGGGGTTCACAGAAAGTGAGCTGAATGACACTGGGCTTCATACAACCTGGAACAGGAATCGAAGGGCAGCACTGGAGCAAGGAGAAGAAGGTGAATGGTACTGTACCACTTTTTTTTTGTGGGGTGTCCAAAAGAAAAGAAAAAAAAAAAAAAGTTATGCTTTAACATGATAATGCCATTTTAATAATTCTGACTTACTATGAAGGCTGCAAGTGGTCATTTCAACACACATTAAGCAGACACTATCCACTGTTGTCACTATCAGAAAACTGCTCCTGAGAAGAACTGCAAAGAGTGTCTGCAGAAGATAAGCTATACTGAGAAGCAACCAATGTTGAAACAAAGAGGAGAAAACTGTATTTTCTAAAATAAAATATGGCAATTATTTATGATACACAGAGTGTAGAAACAAAATGTCATTGAGTTAGAGTTTACATTTACTTTAATTTCACTTACTTGCAGCAATTCCAAATCGGACTGCTTCGCTTTCTGTGGAACCACTTCAGTCAACATCTCAGACATTACTTTGACATTCCCGTTTACTACCTCCAGCTCACTGCGAAGCTTTGCAACCTGCCACACACAAAACAAGCAAGTGTTAAATATGGAAATATATGTTCTAAGACAGAGACCAGAAAAAATGGAAAATCCAAAATAATGAACCCTAATACCTAAAGTTGACTTACAGCAATTCTGTCATAAAAAATGCTGTCAGGTATAAAGTTTCAGAAACACCCAAGCCCCATCGTTTTCCTTGAATATAGAGTCATTCCGACAATAAATCTCTGACACTTTCTGGTAGCATTGAAGCGCTTCACTGTCCCACCATTTACACATTTCTAACGGCCCATCACCATGATGGGCTGCCTCACTAACCAACAGGAATGTACAAGAGGTAGGAAGGGGCAGGAAAACTATCCCACTACCAGGAAATGTACCCATCAGAGCAGCTGAATATTCGAGCCTAAACAGCAGGGCTTGGAAGTTGCTGTAGGTATGTGCAGGCACCCAAATTTTACCTACATTTTAATTTAATTCAAATGCAGATTATATATCCCTGGTTCACACTGGAATTGCTGTGCAACAGTTACTTCTATGAATATTTCATCTTTGCTTTGGTGACAGATTTGCTTTAACTGCATGCCAGTTTTGTGGAACTCTCCCAGTTAAAAGTCTCCACAAATTCATACATTGAGGCTGGTTAATTACTGAGCCTAATGTGGAAATGCCTCCTCTATTAACCCACTATCGGAACCACCATCAGTTATCTATTTCCAATTCCACAGCCTCTGTATATAAATCAACCAATTTAGAACTGTTGAACTTGAGACTTATAGCTGACTGAATGGAATAGCAATAGTGAGGCTATCTTCAAATAGTAACAATTAGTCACTTTTTCTGTAACTTTCTGTTATCAATTCAAACCAAACACAGACCAGAGGGACTATTAACGCAGAGGCAGAAAATATTTCTACTTGGAAAAACAGCAATAAAATAGGATGTTTGTACTCAATGTAAAATCCTTTTCTCCACACACAGTTTTGAAGATAATAAAATAAGCAACCTAGGGTTATATGCTGCCTACGGGTAAAATGGACACTAGGCACATAGAAAACTGAAGGCCAGCCCCATAGAAGCTATAACCTCTACAGCCTGTTCAGTGCCAGCAAGAAGTCCAAAGATTGAAAGATAGCATAGGAGGGAAGGAAAATGTGTCCCTCAATGGACTTCAAGAAAATAATTTTATATTAAGTACTAAAATCCTATTTTGTTTATTGTCCATTGAGGGACACTGCTGTGATATTTAGTAACCTAGGAATGTTCAAAAGCAGTCCAAATTGAGAGGGCAGGAAGACTCAAACACCACCGATAACTCAAAAACCCGATAACTCAAAAACCCGATGCGATGGACACAAGAAAGTCTACCTTACGAGATATCAAAGCGCTAAACATATGTCATAAAGAGGTTCAAAGTGGGATTTTATAGCATCAACAATGCTAAATTTAAATCTCATGTTTGGACTGGAAGCCTCACAGGGGAGCAAAGTATGTATCCCCTTGTATAGAAGTACAAATCAGTGAATGCACGAATAATATGTATAAATTAGCAAGAAGATGTTGAGAAAGATGTTGAAAAAGAATGAACAGTGCAGAAACCTGATTTCTGATGGTGCTAAAGGGCCAAGTTTTGTTATACCCCCAACTGCAGAAAAGAAGATGCAGATAACAGATATGGCTGACCTGGTAGAGCCTACAAAGCATTGGCTAAGAGATAAAAGAGGCCAATCCGGAGATATGAGAAAGACTGGAATGTTCTTGGTCTCGATCCTTCATCATAGACAAAGTAAAAGTTTTAGCTGAGGAAATTCATAGATCAGGTATCATAGTATAATGATCCCACAGCTCTACCCCCATCTGCATCTGCTGCATCCACCATTGGGTCCCGCATCCTGGAAACAAACCTGTTTAGCTTCTTGTTGAACCAAGACAATAGCAAGTCCATGTCCAGTGCTCCCCAATGAAGACACATGCCTTGATATGCTTCCAGATGAAGAGATCCTTCCCCCAAGTCCAGACATTGTCTGATGAGAAAAGCTGCCTTTGAGTTTTGAACTCTATACAGTTTTGAATAAAAACCTTTAAATAGTTTGGTTTGAGGAACAGGAATGCTAACCCCCTGTTTCAGCACCCACATGCTGAAGCAGATTTTTCTGCAGGCTTGGATTCCTAGGAATGCTAAGGAGGTTTAGTGGGAGCTCTCTGAGCCAAAGTGGGTGTAAGAAGAATTGTGGGTCCAGAACCTGGAAACCGACATGGAGGAACTAAAAGGAACGATTTGATGTATGATAGGAAGGTGTCGGCCTGCACCACTTATCCTTATTTTTTGTGAAGTTGGGGTAAGTGTTTGGCGAAGAGCTGAAAAGATGGTCTCCCATGAAGGGCAGTAGCAACAAAGCCCCCTTACATGTTGCTTCACTGACCAGCACTTGTATAGCACTGCAGACCTAGACAAAAGAAAAGGGATGCCTGCAACATAACACTACTGGCATCTAGTGCCATGTAGCACAAAGTTTAACACGATAGTGATCTGATCAATACACCAACACTAGCAGCAGCCTGATGCTTACTTGGCAATTTAAACCAGTCAGCTCAAGTCTGGAAAATATGTGTAGCGGCGAGCATGGATTGAAGGGCAGATCCCACCAACTGCTTCCAACTTCTTGTCAATGGGGTCCTTAAAAGATGGGGTCCTTAAAAGATGGGGTCCTTAAAAGATGGGGCCCCTTTAATAGGAATGGTCAGCGCTTAACAGAAGTATAAAGTTTCAATGTAAGGAATAGTAAAAGGAATTAGCATCCAAAGAAAATAAGAAGGGCTTCAGAAAAAGCCACCAACACATGCGGTTCTGACTGAGACTTGTAGGAAGTACAAAAAGCACAATGTTTTCCAAACTCAACCTTGCACCTGTTGCAAATGAGGTATAAATGAGAAGATTCACTTGCAGTCACAGGGTGACCACCCTTCCATTTGGTGCCAGACATGTTGCTGCACATACAAAAGGTAATTTATCTTTAAGATAAGTAGCTACCCAAATCCCCCAAGAATACTCATGCCTAACCAGATTAATACCAGGGGATTAAAATCAGCAGCAAGGATTTGTGACCAGTAGTTGGCGCTTGCAGGTGGCACTGAGAGATCACATGGCTGTGTCTGCTATGTCCCGAGTGCGGGCTGTCAATCAGGGAAAGGCGCTGTAACACTTGGAAATGTGACTCCGTAGTGTGTGAAGAGGCTGCAAACCCACCGTACTGGAAAAGAACAGTGGAAAACCGAGAACTACGAGCAAGTGTGCACACGAGTTTGCATCATCACAAATTCTGGCCACAAAAGAAGCGGCTGGAAATTAAAAAAAGATAGTTGTAGCATTCAAGTCTCAGCTGAAGACAGGAGTGGCAGTAAGAAAAACCTGTATAAAAACAGCTTGGCCACAGAAACCAAAAATTACAAAAAATCTCCAATACGAATTAAAAAGAAAAAATATTTGATTAACTGCTGCATGCAACATCAATATCATTAGGTATAACATTGCAAAAGCTCATGTTGAAGATTATCATCCCTCATCACAGTATAATGTTCCAGCACCAAATCAGTAAAGCTCATGCTCCCTGTTGATTGGAAAAGCTCAAGACTGAACTCAGCAGGGGATGTGGCAGGCCTCTGCAGAGAAACCACTACTTTAACAGAAAAAGGGCTCTTCTCTACAGCATACCAACAGGGGGCAATCTGTTCAACAGTAAGGGCTCATACACACCAGGATGATTCGATGCAGTGCATTTAACACATTCGTGTTAAGAGACATTGCATTAAGGCAGCTCATTAAATTTGAATTGACTGCCAAATGCACCAAAATAGATCCAAAATTGCACTTGCTGCATTTCTGATAACACAGCACACTGCAATCCACTGCAATACTCTTCCATCACACACGACTTGTGGAGATGTGTTGGGGTGGCATTCAAATTGAAATGTGTGAACCGGTCCTAAGACTTTTCACAGCTTCTGTTTTGAGGCACCTAAAATGTATTTCACCAATTTAAACTCAGCATTTAGTTGGATTTTAAAGACAATCAGAGCCAGGTAGTTTAGTGTAGCATATGTTCGGCTACATATCTCCCAAAAAAAAGGCTATAACTAAAAAAACAGAAGCAGGTCTTAATGCCTACAGAGATTAAAGCTTGCTATACATTGGTAGTTTTAGCTCGATTCCCCCATCTTGGCTGTTTAGCACACCTGCTGCTATCAGAATACAATAGACCAGTGGGGGATTCCTCCACCTAGGCTCTCAGGGCTGAATGAGGAAAATGGCAAGCTTTATACTCTGTAATCATTAAGAGCAGCTTCTGGTTATTTATTTAATAGCCTTTTGTTGTAGATATACAGCATACCATATACTACATAGCTCTAAAGAAGGGGTGGGAAACCTCCGGCCCTCCAGCTGTGGTGAAACGACAAATCCCATGATGCATCTGTCTCCGAGTCATGCCAGTGGCTGGGAGAATCTTGCAATGCCTCATGGGATTTGTAGTTTAACCACAGCTGGAGGGCCGGAGGATACCCACCCCTGCTCTAAAGTAAACAAGTTTGAATTTTTTCAAAATTCAAAAAAAAAAAAACAAGAAAAAAAAACCCACAGTCGCTGGGAGAGAGGAAGCAGTTTTTTTATATTTTTGACTTTACCTCCAATTTAAAGGCCAACTGGATATTGAGTTTAAACCAGCGAAATACATGCACCTGAATCAAAACAAAAAAGGTATAAAAAGTCTTCAGAGCCATTCACACAATTCATTTTGAAAGGCACCCCAATGCACCTCCACAACGCAACTGCACTGTAGCACATGATCGAGCACTACAGTGCATTGCAGTATGCTATTTTACACAAAAAACAGCAGGTGTGATTTTTAGATCTGTTTTGTGCATTTGGCAGTCCATTAATATAATGGGTTGTCCTAACGCAATGTCTGTAAAGGAGCATGTGTTAATGCGACACACCGCACTAGATCATCCTGCTGTGAATCGACCCTTACTGTTAGTGTTTAGAAAGCAGTACCTGCCTACAGCAAAGCCTGTTCCTCGCCAGTAGCTGGGTGGGGGGGGGACTTTGTTTTCTGTGTTAAAGCATTAAAGCAGTGGTCACTCTGCAGCAGCCTGCCACACCCCCTGCTAAGTTGCTCACTGGAGCTGGAATATTAAAGTATGATGGATGATTGAAGCCGATTGGCTGCAGTCACTATTTGCCCCAATTTTTTCAGATGGGTACATTCAGGGTTGGTCCTGAGGGGGACACACACTGGTCAAATTTCAGTCGAGTCAGCAGGACTCGGCTGACCAAAATTTGAATAGTGTATTTCCCGTAGGACCCTTGGGGCTTTAGTCTCCCCCGTAGGACCCTTGTGGTTGTGATTTTGTGCTCATCTCGAAAAGCCATAATAAAAACAAACAGTCTAGTGACAGTTTATTAAGGCCGTTAAGCCAAAGCGACCCTGTAGATGCAAAGCACTGTGAACAGCTACACTAGGTTTGTGAATCAGTGGCCAGGTGTGATTTACTCCCAGCCACTAGTGCAAAAGCATGTCTAGAAGTAAGCTGCTCCCTTGCCATGCCTCCATAGGCAATGGTTCTATACTTTTAATTCAGTTAAAGCGTTAATAATTAAAACAAAATAATAAAAAGCAGCAAACTAAGTTAGAAGGCCGTTAGCAAATTACTATTTTTTGTGGACTGCTGTTCAATCCAGCATATGAATCACAACCCCCCCATAGTCCTGCTTGTTAGGTTGCTGCTTAATTGGGATTGATGAGTGGGTTATTATAAATAATCTATTGCTAGTGGTAGTTACTGGTACATTAAGGAAATCAATGTACAAGTCTGAAAGTGATCATATGACTAACACTCGATTACTACAGATGAACAGCTGTAAATTGTTCCTTTTCAACGTTTGGAATATGCCTAAATCTAAATTTCAAAAACCCCAATATTAACTCCTAAGAGAGATGAATGTACCTGATCAGGTGTGGGGGTGACAGCACCATTTGTAGTACCTTCTGCTGGACTGAGGAAAGGGGTGGAAGCAGGAGGATTTACTGAACCTCCTATTTGCACTGGATCCAATGGTGGACAATTCGGTTGCAGAACAGGTTCAGGCTTATATATACTCTATTGATAAAAACAAAGTGCAAAATGATTATGGATACAATTACAAACTAACCAATGTGTTACCGTATACTAAATTCCACATTTCTTTACCAAAAAGCTTCTTAATACTTTAGACAACAAATAAATGTGTTTTAAAAACAGTGCACACACACAAAAAACAAAAGCACTATATAACCTATTTTAAAAGTGAACCCAAAACGTTTTCATTCGTTTTAGACTAAATGAGAAAAGATTAGAACCACTGTCATGTTTTTACTGCAATGTAAGAATGCAATAGGGAGATTTATTCTTACTTCCTGTCCTGCTGACATTTTCCAAGACAGGAAGTGAGCACAATTGTGCAACAGCTTTGGAGAAGGCCCAAAGTCCTATTAGATTTGTATTTCTGTATGGGCTGCGGTTGTAGCTTTCTTAATTTCCTGTCTGGTGATGCTGCCAGAAGTGAAGGAGCCCCGGATACAGTAAAAACCCAACAGAAGTTCTAATAATTTCTTGTTCTATCCCAGAACTAGAAAAAACGATTTTTGCATTCTCCATAAAATCTTTTTCTTCGTCCTCATCGAGGGACAAAGGAAGTCATATACTGTTGCGTTATACTGCTACCTAAAAAAAATATATATATATTGTAGGACAGCCTAGCATAACCGCTTCTCTACCAAGCATGCTTCAGTTTGTAGCGAGCAGTACCAGCTGCATGATCCGAAACACAGAGGGTTATGACCTGCATCCCTCAACCGACTCTAAGAAAAAGATTTTTTTGAGGAACACAAGAAGCAAAACTGAGCGGCAAAAAACAGACTCAACAAAAAAATTTAATTTGGGACTGTCTGCAGCCCAAGAGCTATCTTAAGGAACAACTCTATCACGCAAATCTAACACCAGATGGGTTTGAACCCCCTGCCTGATAGGGGAACCTGCCAACATGTCCAGAGGGAGGACATGGAGAAACAACCTCAAACCGAAGACTAAGAAAGGG